AAGAGTAAGGAGAGGAGAACTTGATGTGATTGAACATAAGTTTAATGGGAATAGAGGAGCATGGAAACTGGGGTTTTAAGCAGAGAGTAGTTTCAGAGTTCAAGATTTCAAGGGTGGGGCACTTCTGTGGCGTAAGTTCCAGGATGTAGCCTTGGTATACGGCATTGTAGTGGCACAGAGGGGGACAATCACTGCAGTGGGATGGTCAAGGAACTGGGAGGCTGGACATCTTCAACATGAATCCTGAAGTCATTCCAGGGAGTGGCGGATATTAAAATACCCAGGTTCAGTAATTTAAAAACTGATAAGAATGCCTTCAAAGAAATCATTGAAAAAAAAAAGCTTTAATTGAAGAAAGTCCTTTGTTATGTCAGGACTGTCCGCACGTTGACAGAGACCTATTAAATGGCATCTAACAAAGAGATCAGAGATTCCCAACTGAGTGGGGCTATTCTTATCCACAGGTTAAGGGTTCCGTTGACTTTAGGTCTCCACCCATCCCTCTAAGTCTAATCTGGGGATCCAACCGCTAACCTGTCTCAGTTTGTCTCTTCATTGACCTGAAGATATCTACTTCTCACCTGAGAGGCAGGCAAGACCCTGTTCTTGCTATAAATGCCGACTGATGGCTCTGAAAAAATTGATCTGAAGGAGAAAGCAGACACTCACTCACCAAGATGAGCCACACTGCCCATTTCCTCACAAAGATGTTTATCTTAAAAGAGGCTTGTAGTGCAAGCCTAGGTCCTGAGTTGCTCTACTGCTTAGTTTTAAAATTTACTAGAGTTACTTTGTAGCAGATGAAATACCATATGCGTTTTGTAAGAGGCTGTTACTCTCTGGAGGGTAAACTAGCAGTTTTCTTTTTTTCTTTTTTTTTTGGCCCCATCATTTTTTCTCAAATTATAACTTGTGTGAAATCCAGATATGTAAAATAGGAAAAAGCAGAGCTTTTCTGGTTAGGGCCAAGGTGGAGGACTCGGATTCTAAGCCTGGTCCCCCTACCCCAACCCTACCCCCACCTGTACAAGCCATCTGAAGTAACCTCTTAAGGACTTCCTGCATCAGCTAGGGGGAAAAACACCCAATGCTTTTTTACTTCTAGCACTATCATTTTATAAGTCATTTATTCAGTGAAGACAACATCTAGTAGGTTCAGCAAAATTAAAATATCTGAAATATTAAGAAATGTATCTTGAACACGCCCCCAGTTCTTTCTTTGCTTCTAAAAACATTTGGAGAAGCAGGTAGGACCACAATCAGGCCCACAGTAGAGGGGGTGGGGGGAATGGCTAACAGCTCTTGGGGTAGCCATCCAGCTCATAATATTTCTGTAGAAACATGCCCCCACCAGCCACAGTTGACTGGTCTACCTGAGTTCAAACCCAGCAGAGCTCTGGAATATTTTGATCTCGCATTTAAGAAAAGAATCAGTCCCTTTCCTGCCACTCCCCACCCTCCTTCTCAGTTTCTTCTCAGTCTCTTTCGACAAAGTTGTAAGATACAAAATTTATTGGGTTGTCGGAAAAGTCATGACGCATTTTTGCAACGAAAAACATAGAAAAAATACATCATGACTTCTCCGACAACCTAATAGATGTTGCCATAAGCCAGTTGCTCACCTGAGAAAGAAAAGCCATCTGTAGAGAAAGTGAATGAAGCCACTCACACAAAGAACCAGAGATAACAGGCAAAGAGCAGAGGGCGAGAGCCTGTCAAGTGTCTGAACTCTTGATTTTCATTGAGACTCTGATCCACCCTAGCCTTTTCCATGGTTTAGTTATTCAGTCTTCCTTTGGATTCCATGCATCAGTAGATTCCACTTTCTATCTCTGCTAGTTCAACTAATAAAAAAAAGCAAGACACTCAAATGATGTCTGACCACACAGACCTAATCTCGGCTTGGAACTTGTTTTGAGGGAGCAAGAAGGATGCCTGAGTAATCCAGAAGTCTAGAAAGACTGAGGGTTTTTACGACAACCTTCTGAGTCAGGTCTCAGGGAAAAGAAAAGTAGATGCAGCAACAGTCAAAGCCGTCTGAGCAGGATTTTGGCTTGCCAAGACTGGGCAGCTCTAAAGCTGTGAGAGTGACTGGTAGGGAAGGCCTCTCCCATCAGCTTCCTCCAAGACACTCCAAATAACCCTACAATGTAAGTTAAAACTCTTCCAGCAGAGACAATTCTGTCCGCTATCTAACTTGTGCAGGAAATCTGGACCTTTAAAAGCTTTCCTTCCGCCAAACGTAACTTTCTGTTATTCTCTGGGACCTGCCCTTCCTTCCAAAGGAGTTTGTAAACCCAGCCTCTGCTCTCTATCTCCTCTGAGTCTCAAGGTCAAAGAGAATTCCTTACAGGGGACTTGTTTTGTTTAGAGTTTCAAAAGCACTGACTGGGCTTCACCAGGGAAGTCTGTGGGACCTACCATTCCTTATGTAGAAACATCCAAGCAGTGGGCTTTATGGCTCCCTGCTGGCGAGTAAAAAAGGCAAACAAGCAAAGCAGCAGGGCTCCTGTGGTGTGCTGGAGAGAGAGCTCAGGAAACCTGAATGGCTCAGGAAGGAAATCAGTTTTACAGTGAAACCAGATACCTGGTTAGAACTCTGAGACCCTCAAGCAGCAGAAGATGAGGAGAGGGGGGTGGGGACATCGCTGAGAAACTGAGAGGAAGGCGGGAGGTTTGGAAACCTTGAGTTATTATTGGCCTAAATTCTGCCAGTAAAATAACATAATATGGTATTTCTTTTCCATTAACTCCTTCAGGCCTTTAAACTAATCAGGAAAGGCTACTTATTTATTGAATCTGGAGGCTAATTAGGCAAAAAGTTCACAAGTAAAAATATTAAATTTCTTCTTCCCTGTATGGGTAGTGCTCTTGGTACTAGTATTCAGCCCAGTGGTCAAAGGATAATATATCAGAAAGTAAAGAGCTAAAGACTTTCTGAAAGATTTCATCTCCTAACCTTATTTTTAAATTTCCATTAATTGCAGATTCTGTGAACCCTGTTCTTTACAAGTACATGTTATAACGTAAGTGTTCAATAAATGCATGTGAATGAATGAATGAGGTTACCACTGTATATTCTATGAGTGTCCTTTATCCCCAAAACAGGGCATGGGCCCACCCTTAGGGCCTTCAGGATTAGTTCCCTATCCTCTTACCATATTTGCCCACTGAAAGTTATGTCCATGACCACTTAAATGGGGCCTAGGCTGGGGATAACAAATAAGGAAATACAGGGGCAGGCCGAGTGGCTCAGTTGGTTAAGAGTATGAGCTCTGAGCAACAGGATCACCAGTTCGATTCCCACATGGGCCAGTGAGCTGAGCTGCTGCTGATCTGCCAATAGGTGGCAGGATGGCTCAGCTGGTGAGAGTATGTGCGCCTAACAACAAGGTTGCCTGTTGGACTACTGAATGGGATGGTGGGCTATGCCTACCCCCACTCACAACTAAGATTGAACATGGCACTTAGAGTTGAGCTGCCCTGAGCTGTAAACGGGCGGCCAGATGGCTCAGTGGTTAGAGCGGATGCTCAATTCCCGCATAGGATGGTGGGCTACACCCACCCGCAACTAAGATTGAACATGGCACCTTAAGCTGAGTGGCTGTGAGCTGCCGCTGGGCAGCCGGATGGCGACTGGACTTGGAGTTGATCTTAACTGCGCTTTCCACAAGTAAGATTGAAGGACAACAACTTGGCTGTTCCTCTCCCCAAATTTCCCCAACACTGTTCCCCTTCCCCAATTCCTCAATTAACACATTGAGGATGGGGCATTTAAATTGTTTAAATGCATGGTCCCGGGGTTTAAACCACTGAAATAAATTTTTATACTGTGTTTCTTTAAAAATTTATGACAAATTCAATATTTTTGTGAACTGAAATTTTCAGGAAATACTCACCAAAGACTCTAGTAGTGCTTGAAGGTGTGATACCTCTGGAAACATTCCCCCTTGTGGAGTGAAACTAAGCAGAACTTGCAAATGTACCGAGTTTCACTTCTTTTTTTGTGGGCAACACAAACATGGAACCTCCTAGCAGGATATTTTCTTTTACCCCATTCACTTCCAACAATTTTCTCTAGCACATGTTTGCGCATATCACCCAAAAGTCTCCCCGGGGGGTCCTCATGAGGCACATAAGGGGTTTGGGTTGATGTTCCTGGGCGTGCTGCGTCTGTGTCTGTGTCTGAGTCTGTCTCCACCTTCTCTGTAGCCCAGTCTTTTGCCACTTGTAGCAGAAATTCTTCGTATCTCATTTTAGATGTAGGGTTTAGTTTTTGATAGATTCGAAAGGAACTTAAAAGTGTATAATTTATAAGCCAAAATGCAACTTTCTTTGGCCACTTTACTGTTTTTCTCAAGAGAGAATAATAAAAATACTGATCTGCCCTATCAACACCCTTCATGAACATATTATACTGAAAAATACTAATAGGTTTTTTTCTTTACTTCTTCATTTCTCCGTGGGACATCAACTATTGTTGAATCATAAATTGTGGAAATCATGTTGACAACACGAGTATCCCTCCAGGATTGAAGAAGAATTTCACCCTTTCTCCTGAATGTGGTTTTGCCACGTTTCAGAGACTGTGATTCCTTTTTCATTTCTGGAGGAAGACCCCTGTTCACTCTGATTGTTCCACATCCTCGAACTTGTCTTGAAAGGAGAGTTTTAGCAATTGTCACATGATTGTAATAGTTGTCTTGGTAGACATAGTAATTTTGATCAAGACAAACATAAATCTGCATCACCGGTCCACAATGTGTTAAAAAAAAAAAAGGCATTTTAAAAAATCAATAAAATTAGGAAATATAGTCAGGAAAATTTCATGCAGTTTGAGTCTTTGGTCCTTTCAGCTTAGATAACAAGGCCAGTCATGGCTGACATGGCTGACGAAGCATTTCTAGTGCTCCCAAGACTCTCTAAAGTGCCTGGGGGAGCGGCACCTGGCAAACAGTGCCCTGTCACTGCTCCACACGCCTGGCCAGCCCATCACTCACCGTGAGGAACATAACGCTGCCTGATAGCTTGCTGCCAGGGAGCATCTGTTTAGCTGGCATTGACTCCTGTGGGAACAAGGCCAGTGAGCTTGGGTGAGGAGAGGAAAAGTCAGTCAGGATAGAAGAAAGAAGGTTGGGGAGTGTGGTGCTTTGTTACATTAAAGACGTAATTGGCCTTTAATTTCTACAGCAAAGCACAGAGGAATTCATTGTGGAAATGTCTGAAAGCCTCTGCGGAGGCCCCATGTTGCAAATCCTGGAAGGCATGAGGCACTTAGGGGAGAGGTTTGCTGCAGCTGCTCCACATGCCAACCCTCTTCCTCACTCATTCTATGTCCCTCTTATGGGGATGACACCAGACAAAGGCTTTTTCTCAGAGACTACCAACCAGACAAATCTCCATGTGGGATTTAAATTTCTACCTTTCTACATGGAGAAAAATTGGTAGAGAAAGTTTCCCAGGTCAGAAGGCTCAGACAACTGATTTCCTGTTGACCAACATTTTAAATCATTCCCACAACTTTCAGTCCCTCAGGCCATTCACGCTCCAGCCAGGCACAGGTTAGTTCTGCCTGACAGGCAGGATTTCTACATCACCACAATTTCCCTAAGTTTGATACTCTAAACATTTACTTTATTTTCATTGACCTGTGAGCTCCACTAGGGCACAGACTCTATGTTATTTGACTTTTAGTTCCAGAGCCTGGCACTGTGCCTGGTAAACACAGTAATTCGGTGAATATCTGTTGAACTGAGTGCATGCATGCATGTTTACCAGACTAACAGGAAAAAAAATTTCTGGTCTCAGTGAACAGGTAGGTTGGTAAATATTTGGTACTTTTCATGATATCATTAAGTAGAAGATATCTCTATCATGTCACATAAACACTACCTCTTTTATGGCACTTATCACATTATGCATCCTATTGTGGTTTTTTCAGTACACCTATAAATCTCTCCCTATAAATTCCTTAGAAGCAGGAACTATGTGTTTTTCAATTATTTTATCCATCCCCTCACCCAATAAATGAACTAACTAATGAATGAACACTTACTGGTCAAACTATATTGTACTCTTAGATCTACCAAAACCTTCCAACCTTCTAACATAAGCACCAAAGTATATTTTAAAGTCCAGCCCCAAGAAAAACACTTGCAGAACTTCATGTTGGCTCAGTAGCCAAAGAAAACATTCATATAACATCAATACCAAGTGGCAGAGAAAACAAATCAATAGATTTGAGGCACATGCAGACTGGGAAACTGAGAACTACAGAAAGCCCATCCAAGCCCAGAACATAGGAGACAGGGGATGACAGCCAAGGTGGGCTACAGAATGTGGCAGTAGCCAAAATTTGTGGAAAATTCACAGTGCAAATTAACCATGTCAATAAAAGGGACTGCACTGACATGGATCAATTCTGTGAGTAACTTGTCAGGTGTGTTGAGACCAGGACTTTATTCAGGGAATGTGTTAGAAGAAAATTCTGTCATGCAGTTATGCATAGTGGCATTTGATTGAGAACAGAGGCCAATAGTGGGTAGAGGGAAGCCTTGATAAAGAGGACAAGGTTTCCCTCTGCTGCAGGGTTCCTGGGTAATTAACCAATTAAGGCCAAAGATTCATTTCCTGCAGCAGTTTTCTTTGCCATAGAGAATGAGACTTTAAACCACACAGACTTTAAAGCATCTGGGTGATGAAGAATAGCTTCAGATATGCTTGGATCATTCCCCAGAGATTATTGGATACATGTGTGGTGTTCTTAGCCTCACTAGGAAGAGTTTCTGAGAGGAAATGAAGTGTATTCTGACACTGGCTTTTAAGTCCCTATCTACATCCTTATCACATGACTCTAACAAAAAAGATTATTACTGGATCTATTAAGCAACCCTAGAGGCTGGAATAGGTCAATCAGGGCTCCATCAACTCTGAAATAACTAATCACAGCATCACAGTAACACTAACTGTGATACAGTATGTGAAGAATTATTTAGTATAATTTATTATGTATGTGAAAGAATTATTTAAACTGTAAGGAACCATTGAGATTTACCATATCACTATTAGTATTATTTAGCTGATGTCAATTTCTCAGAGAAACCAAAAGTACTTATTGAATATCAGAGTACAAATCTACTAATAGAAGGGAATGGATTATACGTTAGCCTATAGAAGGGGTGGAGGGAAGTTTACAGGATGGGTAGAAAAATCAAATGTCAGAAAGAAAAAAGAGGCATCATTGCATTATTCTAGAGATGAATTAATAATACAGTTGTGTGTCTGTTGTTCTTATGAAGACTCCACTCAACTTTTCCCTTACGTTTTACAAGAATTGGAGGTCAGGAGATATTTATGGGTACACTAAAGCATGAAAAATATAGCTAATCCTCTTGACTCTTCAGTTGAAAGGTTTGAAAGTGAAAATTAGCAGCAGGCAAAGACAAGGACTGAGTCTGTGCTGGTTTTCTCCTCCTCCTAAGATAGGGGGACCGGATACCTGGGGATTGAGTTTTTAAAAGGGGAGGCCAGAGAAGGACCTGAGGAGCTTCTGCCACAATTGGTAGATGAGTCAGGCGTATGAAGCTTGAGACCAGGGGCGGCCCAAAGGCAGAGACTGAGGAAAGAGGAACCAGGAATACAAGAAGCACTCAAAGAGGTGGCTTCCTGGCTTGTCTGTGTTTCAACCCGTAGCTCTTTGTTAACAATCCCCTTACATGTGTTCAAAGAGGACCGATACAAAGATGAGGAACCCTGCAATGCAGGCAGGATGCAAGCTCTGCCCTTCAATGAAGGTAGTGACACCCCACCACCAAAGGAAAATTCTGACTCAGCTGGACAGCATCTCTGCGGTTTTCCTGTCTGGAACAAGGCTGGGCACAGGCGACAGGACTGAGAAAGGTTCTGGGGCAGGTCAGACTGCAGAACTTCTTAATCAGAAACAGGAATTAAGGAAAGAGCCGGTAGTGCAGGTGTAGAAAGAAATCTTATACACAAATTCATGAGAATGGTTACCTCTGGGGAAAAGGCCAGGATTGGAGGAGGGGTGGCCAAGGCACTAGGTCTTGCCTGTAATGTTCATATTTAAGAAAAGAATGTCTTAACATGGTCATTGTTTAACTAAAAACTGATTTTTTAATTAAATCTTAAATTTAAGAAAGAGAGACAGAGGGGGAAGAGAGGGAGAGATGGAAAGAAAAGGAGAAAGGAAGACACAACTAACAGTTCAGGTCTCCTTGTTAGGGATCTTTCTGGATGCTGAGATAAGGCAACCCAAAGAAAGGGGTGGGGCTCGGAAGCAAAGGAAGACTTACGCAGGAAATCACAAGGGGGAAGGGTCACAAGAGAAGGAAATGGAATAACAGAATTTTGAAAGAAAATATTGAAGAGAAAAAGACCCTAGCCAGCCCTCCCCCATACTGTCTGTCAGATTGGAGGCCCCCCAGTTCCCCACTCGCACACAGAAGGGAGCAAATGCTGGCTCCCCTGAACTGGGCCCAGAAACGCAGGTCTCCTGTCTCCTCTTAGGTCCTCTCTGCCAACCATGCCCTTGGTCATGCACAAATCTACTGCCCTGGATTTAGAAAAAGCTATCAACATGAAAAGGGCACTTCATAAGGACCACCTACTCACCCTGCCCTCTCTCAAACTTTCTACCAATGCAATGCCACCCCGACCCCTCCCTCGGCTCAAATGAGCACTTCTGCCATATATTCAGGGGATTTCCTTGGAGAGAATCCCCGGAGAGAGGGGAGACCGCCCCTTCTGGGAGGAGATGACCTTTTAATCTGTGGTCCTGATTTCTGGGCCCAGGTAAACTACCAGGGAAGGTCATTGCCCAGCTTAGAGGGAGACAGGCGGCCTTTTGATTTCTCTCGGTTCACCGGGCTCGCCTACGCCGTACCCACCACCTTAGCCCCCTTAGGGCTCGGCGGGCGAATTGTTCCGGAATCCTCGTTAGGAGAGGGGCGGAGGAGGACCCCTTCCAAAAATTAGGCGGGAGGCGCTGGGGGAGGAGAACTAGGGAGTGGGAGGAGCAGTTACCTCATTGAAGCCCTCCTGCAGGACGTCCAGTAAGTTCCCCCGGGTCAGGCAGGCTAGCATTGTTCCTGCCGGGGGCTCCCCGGGCGGGGACTCCAGGCCAGGCGGCCGCCGCCTCCTCCTCCCTCTGCACACAAAGACTCTTCGCTCAGCTCATAGGGCTCACTCCGGAGTCCCGCATGCCACTTACTGGAAACCCAGACCCGAGCCAAACTAGCGACTTCCACTGGGCATGCTCACTCGGGGGCCTCTGCTGGAGGGGCCCGGGTGCTGCTGCGGTTTCTATAGAAACAGCTGGGCGCGCACCAGCTGGAGGGGCGCTGGCGGGCGGCGGGGGGCCCAGCCTGATCCAGGGAGAGCACCGCGGGCGCGCGGGCGGGCTGGCGTGTGTGCGCGCTGCACACACACACACACACACACACACACACACACACACACACACACGGCGGGCTGGCGTGTGCGCGCGCTGCACACACACACGCACACGTTGACACAGGAGGAGGGCGTGCGGGTGAGTGCACGCACTTGCAATCACACACACACACACACACACTGACGGTAGGCTGGCGTGTGCGCGCGCTGCACACACACACGCACACGTTGACACAGGAGGAGGGCGTGCGGGTGAGTGCATGCACTTGCAATCACACACACACACACCAGGTCTGCAGGTAGGCGTGCTGGTGTGGGTACGCGCTGCGCGCGCACACGCACAAGCGCTGCTGATTTAAGGCCGCAAGCACCCCACCACATGATGGGTGGGAAGGGTAGTGAATCATAGGATTTTTTTCCCCCAGACTGGCTGAAAACAGCAACCTTTTCCCACATGGGGCCTGGACAGTGAGGTTAGATTAAAGAAAGGGAAGCAGAAGGGAGAGAAACAAAAAGGAGAAAGAGAAGAGCCATCAAGAGGGAGAGAAAAAAAAAAAAGGATAGAAAGTGAAAACTTTAGTTATTGATCGTTATTAGGACACAGTTAATAGAAACAGTGCTAAACAAATCACAAAGGATCACAACAGAAACATCAAGGGTACACTAAGCATGACTAGGGCCTTAACAAAAAAACCTTTCTTTTTAAAATAACTGCTAAAATGTAAAACCTGTAATTTTTATGAGTTTTAAGTTAATTAAATGGATTTTAATTAAAATAAAAACCGCAAAAATGTCCTGGTGCTTTTGAAAGAGTTAAGTAAAGCTTGCTCAAGTGAAACTGAGCACTATTCCCCTGTTTCTAGTTATTCAAGTCATGGCCTTGATTATTTATTTTTAAGAACACTAGTCATTTGTACTCTCAGTGCACACTCTTGTTTCTATAGGAAAACTGGAAGCAGAAAGAACACTCAGACGTATTATGTTACACCTCGTGATCCCAGATGGAGGGGAAGGGTTTACTGGGTGTTAAGGCTCAGAGAAGGGTCAGGGCCTTGTCCAAGGACACAGCTGGTCAGTGACAGATGCAGTTTGAGGAGCTAGGACTTGACACTCATATTTTGCCCCAGGCCCAGATTCCAGCCCCAAATCCCCATTAGTACCCTAGCAAGAAAAGTCAGTAGACTCTTATTCAAACTGATGACCTCCTCCTCAGGCCACTGGAGAAAAATCTTTATCCAGAGCAGTCAGAACTAGCAGTCTTGCCTGAATGTCTAAAGCTACTAAACACAACGATGCTTCTGAGAAGAGACACACCTCACTCTTACCACAGCAAGCAAGAAGCAGAAAGCCAGCGGAGGTGTTAAGTGGCTGCTGCTGGTTGAACACTGTGGGTTCCATTCTGGCTAAGGCTGGGGAGAAGCCATGACAAGTCAAACTAAACTTGAACAGCCCACAAGTCAGAAGACCACTGTCCATAATCTAGCTGGCGAATGTAGTTGCCAAGAACTCTCCTTACCGCAACCACAGTTCATGGTGTAATACCCTCAGGTGAGTCACTAATCCATGTTAATGCAACAAGGTCCTTTTTAAAGAGAAGTATGATACTTCCAAATGTATAAAATTGCATGCAACATATCTACATGCATGGCAATACAAAACCAAAACACCTAGTTGGTGGATCCCTGAAGAGAGGATTCTGATTGGTTGACAGTTCATCATGCGTTCGCCACAACAGAAAATATTGAGACATCAGAGGGAGGTCCATCTAACAGTTATCTATCCCAAGAAGTCACTGTTTCTGAAACAAGTCATTTATCAAAGTAGGACCTGTGAGCTCAATGTACCTGGGAAAATACTCATTAAATCACTGAATTTTAAAGCTACAAAAAAAGATCTCATTTGGCCCAACTCCCTCATCTCACAGATGAAGGAACCGAGGCTAGAATAGGTGCTCACAGTCACTCAGCTAGTCTGTGGGAACTAAGACTTAAACTAAAGGCTTCTGAAGACCAACCCTGTGCTATTTGCCTGTATCTCACAGCATGCTGGAGGAATCAGCATTGTGGTGATTTGATAAAAGATTTATTATAGGGCATATGGTCCAAGACTGCATTATTCTCTGGAAGTCTAGAATTATACCAACCACATATTCTACAGTAGTAGTCCAACAGAATTTTCTGTGATGGTAGAAATGTTCTATATCTGTGCTGTCCAATACAGTGGCCACTAGCCACATGTAGCTATTAAGCACTTAACATGTGGTTAATGCAAATGTGGAACAAAAATTTAAATAGCATTTAATATTAATTCATTTAAATTTAGATAGTACAATTTCAAAATATTCTGGTCCATTGTCCCCAAACAACTATTGAAATGTTACAAAAATTTTCATATATAGTCTGCCTCTCACACTTGGAAAAACCACAAAATTCCTGTTGGACCATAAAATCTCAATTTTTCTTGCTTAGAAGATATGTTCACCACACTTATCAAGGTCTGCCTTCGAAAGTGGCCCAGGTGAAGAATTGAGCTTTTGCTCTAAGCAGCATCAACACTGACTATTCCTTCCATCTTCCCGATCACACCATATTGTGATGTCAACGTAAGAGCTGGGAGAATAAGTGGGTTAGCTAAAAGAACTAGGAATACTAGGACAATGATCTGCATCCTGTAGTGCCTGTACACGGGAAAACAACAAGCCCGTCTGGGTAGCTGGAACCACTCGCACTGCTGCAGGCCTATTGTTCACACTGCCTGGGACAAGTGAACGACCCAGGCATGCTGCTTTCTGCATATCTCTGCCATGCTGCTTGATTTCTGAAATTAAACCTGGCTTCCTCCATCCTGCATTATTTTAACAATGGTGGCAGATATCTCCCTCACCAACTAAAACTAAGAGCTACCCAAATATCTATATACAACCATAATAATAGCAAAATTGAGATTTTACTATGTGCCAAGCCCTATACTAAGCACTTAGATATATTAGCTCATTTGATGGTCACTATTACCATAAACAGATTTTTTTATTGTCCCCATTTTACATATGAAGAAAGAGATTTGGAGGATGAGTAATTTGCCCAGACCCCATAGCTACTAAGTGGTGAAGCCAAAGTCCAGGGTTTT